AAATGCCACTTGACATATGGATGTCAAACTATATCAATAGAAAACTTTTCCCAACCAAAATTTCCATGATGGAGGAAGTTATAGCTTACATCCTGTTCACATCTCCATCATCATTCTTTTACCAACAAACTGTGATGGAACAAAACAGTGACAGAAACTCACTTTTACCTATTAGAGTTCAGTCCCTTGGCTTCTGCATCCTCAGCTGCATCAGGAGTCCTGGCTTCCTCCTACCCTTTGAAGGGCTGAACTCTGGCAAGTTCATCTTTAAATCAAGACCAGATAACAGATCAGCCTTACAAATGAGTGGCACTGAGGACCTCCTCCAGGATGTGGAAATCACAGGATCAAATATATATTTGCACATTCCTGAGTTTCCAGATTTAGCATATACAAATTTAGTGACCCTACCCACTTTATATACTCATCCTCAAACTTGCTTAGAAATGACATCAGAAAAACTCCAAATTACCTTCCCCATTAAGTCAAAGAAGTAGGTTAGCACAATGGATAAGTCACAGACTTAGAGTCTCACTGGGTGCTGGTCTGAGCTCTTCCCACTCAACCTATTTGATTTGGATAAATCCATTATGATTTTTGTCACCAAGATTCTGTTATCAAAAGGCCCATTTCCAAGCTTTGAGGGAAACTACTGAGATGGGGAAAACAATGAATAAGCACAATGCCCTGGTCTCAAGGAGCTTTAGTATGGGAGAGAAAACTCGTGATCTTAAGGGGAAGGATGAACTGAGGAAGAATAAAGAACTGTCTGCTAAGAAGTCTTTTTCTTTCCCTTCCTTTTTTACAGGGGAGGGATATTGCATTGTTCTGTCAGATTACATTTTTATATTTCCCCTCAGTGTGAATCTTGTTTCACTACACACTTGTTTTCATGAAAAATCTTTTGCCTCAAGAAAGATCAATAGAACCTGTTGCTTAACAATAGTGACCTTTGCACAGATTAATATAAAATATTGTGACTTCTTGCAATCTAAGTTAATTACAGCTTTTAAGACTATAAATATCTTTGGAAAAGTTGTCCAAGAAAAATCCATCTTTCTTCCTATTACAGAGAAATGTCTTCTGTGCCACTTGCAGTTGCCTAGCTAATATGATCAGTCCAGGAAGGAAGTTGAGAAGAGAGAGGAACTCCCAGCATCCATGAAGAAAAAGATGTCCCAGCATTAAGTCCAGTGGGGCAAGGTGACAGTCCAGAGTAGGAGTATGGAATCCCTAGCTAGAGCCCCTCAGAAATTAAAGTACAGACTGAAATGATCAAACCACTGGTCCAAATACTGGCAAGCAGCAATTCCTAATCTTATCACATTGGCTTGCCCCGATTCCTTTCTACATTAGCTTAGCTTTTTTCGTAGAGGTTAAGCTTGGGTGATCGACTTACAAAAGATGTTATTTTCTTTAAAATTCCACTATGTTTTGTTTCTACTAATAAAAATGCACCTGCTCTATTCAGGTACTGCCCCGGATCATATGTCTTGCCTCTGCTTCCTTGATTACTTTTTTTCCCCAACACTTGTGACCTCACTGTTCAGCCCTTCTCTCTGAAAGTAAAATATCATTGACTCAAAGTCAAATGGAAAGAGCTCTAAAGTTGAGTGTGATTTGAGTCCCTGTTCCGCCTTCTAACTGCTGCAAGCTTTTGGGCATTTTAATGCCTTAAAACTGTTTCCTAATTTGTCTATATAAGGTGTAATTTATTTGAAAACCTACAAGAGAGGTACTTACTGTCATAGAACTGATGGTCAAAAGATAAATTACACAATTAAAAAAATTGTTTCATTATTTTCAAAAATATCTAATATAGTTTTTTGATACATTTTTTAATACAAATGATTCAATTGGTTAATAAATTCTAATTACTATACTAATAATGACTTCATGGGTGTCTTAAAATACTGCCACTTTATGGTAGGCAGAAAGAGTTCTTAGGGACACAGTGTGAGTTTTAAAGCTGGCACAAGGACCCCAGGGCTCCTAACTCCCAGCTCAGCACTAAAAATAGGCTTATTTATCTTGGATAGTTAAATACTCTTCAATGTTGTTTATATTAATTGGTATCACCAACTTTATTTAGATAATCATATAGAATCCAATGCTACTTATCACAAATTCCAAATTAATGGACCAGAGCAGAGCCCAACACTGAGGATGCCGTAGTGAGCACAACCGGGCTTACTGGTTTAATGGGCCTCTGGCATGAACAATCACTTCTCAGAGGTGGCTCTTTCACTTTTCCTCTGTGGAACTGTTGGACTCCCTGTGACATTTCTTCATTGCATGGTGTCTCTCCCACAGATGGCTTGGGCAGGTGCCATTAGCAAGGGTATAACCACTGGCAGGAGGGGTAACAAGGGAACCTTACAAGGCTTCTTCCAATATCTAAGCTCCGCCCCCAGCCTTGCCAGCACTGTCTTCATCATGTCCACCTCCATTAGAGAAAATCTCCAGGACTTCAGACAAAGTACATGTAGTCAAACCCCAACGATGCAGCAGGGTGAAGATCTTTCCAAAAGAGATTCTGGCTCCATGAGATTTAAGAGAATGGCTAGAAGTCAGTGTCCCCAAAATTTCTGCCACAGTTAGCCAGTTCCATAGAGATTCTATGATATTAGAGAAGGTATGTCCAAGGTTTGGAAGGACCCAGGCATTTCTGACTTAGCCAAATATAGTAAATGACTTAAAACCAGCAGCAAACCAATCTAGGTTTAGCTTTGAAGACAAGTTCTGCTTCTGATTGTTTATTTTCTAAGGTATAAACAGCAATAATCATTCAGTATGATTTTTAGTAAGCTCTTTAGTAAGCTTTTCCCACTAGGGATTTAGTTCTATTACCAGAGAATAAAGAGGCAAGGTGCACAGGAAAAAAAAAAAAAAAAGAGGAACTTTGGCATTAGGCCTAGATTTGAATACAAACTGTACCTGACCTGGTTATTTAGCCCACTGAGAGAGCTGTTCCCTCAGTTAGAAAGGACAAATAGTGTGGATTAAAATAGATACTGTGTACTTTGGCCATAATAAGTGACCCATGGTATCTCTGTTATTACTATTATTGTACTTGTATAGTTAAAGTTAATATTGCTATAATTATAAATGTTTTCAAATTCCTTAGACTAAAAGCATCACCTCTGACAAGTATCACAATGTACGCTTATATAGAAAGGACTTGTTTTACACAATTATCTGATCAATCATTACTCCTTTTTGAGAAGTTTCAAAATAAATTGAAAACCAGCAAAAGATATTGTGCTGTGATTATACAAATTTGAACCTAATTCAATCAAAATGTGTATCCCATCCTCTGCAACAATCATAACTTGGACATTTTATTAATCTCCCACATACACAACACTGAGATTTATGTGATTAAATTTTTGAACCATTGACTACAGCACCATGGAATGATTTGACTATATTTTACATCTGAAAATTGTCATTGTAATGGCCTTGAGAAGTTAACTTGATAAGGCCACAGTCCCCAATTATTCCATCAAACTCTATCTAGGTGCTGCTGTGAAGATATTTTGTAGATTTGATTAAAGTCTATAATCAGTCCATGTTAACTATGGGGAGTTTGACCTAGATTATCTGAGTGAGCCAGATTCATCTCTTGAAAGGTCTTAAAAGCAGAGCTAAGGTCTCTCTGGGGAAGCAGAAAATCCACCTGAGAATAGCAGCTTCAGTCTATTACTGAAAGTCCAGTCTTCCCTCCCTGAAGTGCTGCCCTCCGATTTCAGGTTTGCCTAGTTTCTCCATAATTGTGTGAACAAATTCCTTGCAACAAATCTCTTAATGTCCTATATAGTTTTGCATTTCTTTTTTCTTTTTTCATTTGCATTGCATGTATTCTAATTTTCTTCACTGACAACCAAAACAGGGAATTGAAACAAGGCTGTTTTACTATTTTTGCTCTACTGTGATCATTCAAAAGCAATGAATATACTGTTAAGAATAAGGCATAGTGCGTAGAACAGCTTGGCAGGTTAGCTTCAATCCAGCAAACTACCTCAAGTCTTGACAAGGCTGAGGTGACAAATTTTAAGAGTTGGACACTAAGAAAATGTTATCTAATAATAATCATCATCTTCATATATAATAATAATGTGTTCACTACTAATTATTTCTGTTAAGTAGGTACTATTATTACCATTCTGATTTTAGAAATGAGGAAACCAAGCCATGGCATAATTATACAAAGTCACACATCAGGTAACTTAGCTGGGAATTGTAGTTTTGCACTGGTTAAATTCTGTCTAATACAGCCATGAAATTTTTATTTTTCATTTTGAATTAAATCTAATTGACCCCCACCTTGATATTTAAGGTAGATATCCCTCCACAAGTTGTTCTCTTTATTCGGATGAACTGAATGGGGTTCATTATTTTCATAGTAGATGTGAATACGCTTTTAGTTCAGCATGTTTTTCTATTTTGCTATATCTTTTCTATCTTTCTGTTTCAGAAGGAAACAATGAATGTAGATTCAATGACAACTTTCTTTTGTAACTTAAAAAGAAGAAATATATTTAGCAATTGCACATGAAAAAAAATAAAACACTCATATCTAATTGGCACAAAATTGAAACCCTTACTACATATGATATTTCTCATAGATTTATATGTGCATTTTAGAAAGGTCTTATATTTTAGAAATGGAATTGCAATATGAAATCACTTTATTGAAACAGAGGTAGACATTGTCATTGCTTTGCCAGCTCACAATCTAATTTTAAATGACTCAGCTGTAAAAATTTCATAATTTTCCTAGGCAGAGTTTCTTAAAACTGTTTTTTAATAATAATAGTTTTTTGTCAAGTTTCATTTCATCCTGATCTACTGTGAAAACCTATAAAACTAGAATAAAGGCACATACACATAGGCTTTGAGAGCTAACTTGAAAATAAGAAACCAGAGGAAGCCAGATTTGAAACTAAACTCAGATTTTAATTTAACAGAAAGCATTATTCATGACAAACTTTTCTAAAATGAAATGAAGTCCTTTAAAAAAAAAAAAAACTCCACTCTAGAAATGTTAAACATTTATTCATTTTCTCATTGGGAGTTCCTTTCTTGAGGGTAATAAGAATATGCACAAATAACCAGACTTTTTGATATTTAAATATTACAACCGAAAATTCAAAGTTTTTTTTTCTTCCACATATGTTAGGTATTATTGTAAAATAAATTATTTTTAATTACAAAGGACTAGTACCAGTAGGTATCTAAGAAATTTATTACCATTTACTTGCAATAACAAACATGTGCTTTGATATTTTTATTTAGTTATTATAAAAACTGAGTTTTCAAGGAAGGCATTTTTAACAAGACTATAGCTTTAAAAATAAATTTACACCTAGCAGTTCTTTAAACTTAAACTAAAAATTGTGGTAGAATAAAATGTCAAGCAAGAGAAACTTTTTCTGTAATATATACATAAGTATTTTCATGTAAACAAAAGCAAAGTTCAAAAAATTAAATTAAATATCTTTGTAAGCAACAGAAATACATAGATCAAAAAGGTTATTTTATTTTACTTCATGCTTCCATTGAATACAACTGGCATAAGCAGAGCAACAGGAATTAGATGAATTTTTACATTTCTCTCACATTTTTCAGGAAATTACATACATAAAGAAATATCCTAGAGAGAGGTGTCTCTAGGAGAAAAAGTACTAGAGTAATTAGACTTCTGAAAGTCATGACTTTCAATTATTAAGTCACTCTTCTTGCTCTACTGTGGAACATATAATATGATTGGGCAAAGGTGAGGGAGTAGTGGGAGGGTTTATGGGGGCAGGAAAGATGGTGGAATGAGATGAACATCATTACTCTAGGTACATGTATGACCATATATATGGTGCAACACTATATCATGTACAACCACAGAAATGAAAAGTTGTGGTGCAATTGTGTAAAATGAATCAAATGCATTCTGTTGTCATATATACCTAATTAAAATAAATAAATTATTATTTTTTTTAAAAAAAGAAGAAAGTAAAGCTAACACTGGCAAGATCCACACTAACACACTTGGCGGCCAATCAGGCACACAGACATAGATTTTCCTCTCAATGTGGATTACCCATGCACTAGGAGATAACAGTTTCCAACACAAAACAATTGTTTTGAGATAAAACAGACAATATTTAAAGTATATTTATACAGGAGTGTTTTTTGGAAGTGTGCCCTAGGGACCACTTGAACCACAATCACACAATATGTTCAATATAACAAAAATGTACATTCCTGGGCTCAAATACAGATCCTCTGTGAGCCAAGAATCTGTACTGGTCCTCTTGCTTAGAAATATTTAAACACTTTGAAGTTTAAAATATCACTACCAAAGACTATTTGTGATTTCCCTTGACTTTTCCTTTTGACCACACTATTTAATTATCTCTTTCATACTTCCTATTTATTAGCCAGAAGGAAAAGAAAACAGCATCATATCTGATTATGTCAGTCAGCAGTGATAAGTAGTAGTGGTTTTCCTCCCCTCAAGAAAATATGGGGGAATAAGCAACAAGCAATTTTGCACCTAAATTTATTGAAGGTGCACCATAGTACTTTTTTTTAAAGCTTTCAAAATGTATACATAATATATTTTCAAAGTGATTTGTAAACTGTCATCTGATCAAGATTATCCAGTGTAAAGAGAACGGCATTGTTGTTGCTGAATTCTTACAAAGGCCCCTCACAGTCTTCTCTCAGTAACAATGAGCATCTGAGCAGGCTCTCCTGAGCTCTCAGCAAGGGAGGCACTGCCCACTCAGCAGCACAAAAGCACTTACAGCCTGCTCATCAAACAAGAAGAAAAAACAAAGCCCAGTCAACTCCATCTACAAAATCTCAAGACCTACCAATATGTAAGATGAATACAGATCATGTCGACTTTCCTGAGAGAAAGCTGAATCTCAAATATCTTTACTAATGATATCTGTTTGAAATCCAGTTTATGTTGACAATGGAAAGTAAAATACACATCAACATGCTACTAGTATCTACTGCAGTATTTATGTCCTAAGGAACCCCATGGACAAAAACAATTTTATCTGTGGTTAATATAAGTTAGAAATTAAAGAGGTAGGTGACTATCATCTGAAGATGACCCCACAACATGCTGAATAATATACTTGACTTCCAAAAGAGTTCTTTAACTGGACAGTGAATTCCAACACCGTTGTAATTGCTGAGCAGAGTTTCCCAACATCCTAATTCCTGATGCCAAATCACCAGCTTTTAAGACATTCATTTTTAAGAAATAACTGATGAAGTAAAATGTAAAGAAGTAATACTGGATACCAAAAAGTGATGCTGACATCAGCTGGGCTCTTCAAATAGCTATAGTCTCATATGAAGGAAAAGCACATTGAAGTTGGATAAGACCTTACAGATTCACCTAATCCAACTCTGGTTTTACAATTGAAGAAACAGGCTGATTTTTTTTCCAATGGCTTACGAAGCACTAAAATTCTGAAAAGATGTTATAAATCCATGGTTAAATTACCAAGTTATCCCATGATATAGCCAGGAGGCCACATTTTCATCCCTTATGGCCTAAGTCTGTAGTTCCATCCCAGTTGGCTGTTATAAAGTATGCCAGTGGTAACAGGAGGTGACCGAAGGCCCTGCATGCACCTGAGGAGACAGATAGTCAGCAAGAGAAAAATAATTTGAAGCCCACAGATCTTCCCTATTAAAACCTGCTCTAGGCTCAGATAAGGATTTATCTTCCTTCTTTGTGGTAGATACACCTCTGGGTACATTCACAAAGTCTAGCTCTGCTTAGGAGAAAAGCACTGGGCATTAAAACTGTTTTGCATGGAACACTTAGAACTAATACAGCTGGACTACTGGAAACCTCCAAACCCACAAGGGCAAGGCCTACATACATCTGTATTTAATTGTTCAATAATTGTTGGTTATTTATTTACATATCAAAAAGTCACCTTATTGACTTATTTTCATATTTATTTTTATCTTTAGATTTTTAAGATCTGTAAGTGATTTTATGTTTCCTTTTCTACTTTCCAGACTTTCTGTTTCATATTTCTCTTGGTAATTAAAAAAATGAAGCTATTTTTAAAGAAAACATCTTGGTTTTAAAAAAAATGTAAAGGATATGCATAGTTCCTTCATGACTATGAAACATTTAAGTTGAATAAAGTGTCTGTATGGTACAGCAAAACAGTACAGTCTCAGGATCTCAGCAGATGTTTGGATCCCAGCTTTACCACTAACCTTGCACAGGATTATAGTCCAAGTCATGCTTTCTTCATCTGTAAGAAGTTAAAAATAACATCTACCTTACAGAATGCCATGAGGATAAAATGATGCACAGCGCCTGGCAAATAGTAGGTGCCCGTAAATGTGGTAATACTCCCTAGTAAGCTTGGTGAGAATCCTTGAGTAAAAGGAATTACCACAGCCTGCACCAGCCATCTCCCCCCAAGTGCATTCCCCTTTGAATCTGCAAGGGGCTCTGTTGCCTCAATTGTTCCCTATTGCTCCAAAGAGTTGCTATTGTGCTTTGAAAATTTTCTACATTTTTATGTTCTCTCTTTCAAAACTGTACATGCAGATAAAACATTTTTTAAAAAACCATCTTCCTAGAAATGACAGTGCACATTTCCTGAAGCAAACATGTCATGTACAAAAACAATTCTGAAAAATATGACTGAATTAATCTGTTCATTGTTTCTTAAAGTGCACCAAAGTAAATAGTAATGACTTTTAAAATGTCACTAACCTCCTTGGGTTATTTTTAAAAATAAAACTAAATATTTATCAACTGAGATGTATGGGTTTTTGGCTCCAATGTAATGGCAAGAAGCAGCAGTGTTGTCCAGAAAAAAAAGAATTGATAAATTCAACTAAGCATTCCTTAGCAGCAAACAAAACACTAACAATTTAAGATAACTGCAGGCTCAATAGAGCACAATCCTGATTCCTGCCACAAAAATAAAATCTGTCAATAAAACAAAACAATCTCCCCAATCTAAATCAAGGATTTTTCTTGAACCCTGAAGGTAACATTTATGTTAACTTTCCTATTTTGTATCCTTGGTAACAGGACTATAACAAATTACCATTCTTTCTTTACACTGCACACACACACTCACACACACACACAATCTATAAAAAAACAAAGTTTAAGTGGAGAAGCCATGTGAGCAAAGTTCAAAGTCAAGAACAATCATCACCCAAAATGACAGACAGCTCCAATATTCACACCACCGTCCGATGTTCCCCACACACATAGACAGCACTGGGACGTATCCTTCGCCTTGTGTGACCAGGGAGCTGTGGCAGAAACTTGAAGGACTTCGGCATCATGTCCAGGCAGGCGTCATGGAATTTCTTAATCCTCCAGTAGTAGATCAGTGGGTTCAATGCAGACTTGAGGTAGGAGAGCCAGAGTAGCCAGGTGCTTATCTCAAAAAAGTTGTGCTTATAGTAAAAGTGCTTACTGAATGTTGCCACAAGGCTATAAGTGGTGAATGGAGCCCAGCAGACAATGAAAACAGCAAAAAGAATCAAAATGGTGGTGAAGGCACGTGTCTTAAAGCCCATGTCTATGCTCATCTGGAAGGGTCTCTGTAGACTCATGAGACCCAGTTTGCTGGCCTGGCTTAGGCATATACCTTCTGGGTAGCTATGGATCCTCAAGGCATTGTGCCGGAGGGTGTTGAGTATGCCCATAAATGAATACAGTATCACCAGGAAAGGTATGAAGAAAGAAATGAGAGAAATCAAAATCACATAGGCCTGGTAACCAGGATTGGTTGTGTACCCAAATACACACTGGGGGGCTCGGGAAGGTATCTGCAGGTCAGGGTTTCCTACAGCCAAAGGAAAAGCTACACAAAAAGAAGTTGCCCAAGAAACTGCAATCAGAACCTTAGCCCTATATGGATTTAGCTTATCCTGCCTCTGGACTATAATAAGGAATCTATCAATGCTAATTATGAGTAGGATGGCAACTCCCTCTATCACAAACAACCAGAAAAACATAGCTGAAACTCTACAGAAGAATTTCCCAAAAATCCATCTGGTAGTAAGAATAGTTACCAGAGCAAAGGGCATGTTCAGTACTGCAAGCAACATGTCTGCAAAAGCCAGGCTGGCAAGGAGGATATTAATTGCAGATCGCATGGCAGCTTTTTGGTAAACCATGAGGCAAACAACCAAGTTCCCGAGAAAAGACACAGACAGAATAAATATCATGATAGCAGAAAGGATGATCTGAAGAGGCAAGCTCAGACTCTTGAAAACAGCTGGTGTTGCGGGCACACCTGTGCTATTCACTGTCAAGGAACTGAAACCAGTGGGAGCCATGGTTTCAAAACTGTATCTAAGCAGTGGACCAACGGTGGGAGGCTGGAACAGTGGAGGGGCCGTGATATTCATGTGGGAGTTTTCATAGACCACAAATGTTGTGTTGGATAACCCAGTATGGGACGCAGTCAACACTGCTGAGAAGACCATGGTTTCAGGAAGACGGAGGGTGCAGGCAAAGATGTGTGTGTTCTTCAAGCATTTCAACACAGAACAGCAGTATCAGGTTCCACTGATGGGCTTGGAAACACATTCTGGAAAATGGACAAAGGGTTCCATCTTCCACAGGAGTTCTTCTGCCTGAAAACAAGGCCACAACATGAAAAGTGAGAAATGAGCTTTGTAAATAACATTTGAGTTCTTACCTCATGTAGGATCAGTTTGCTCTTTTTCATACCTTGAAAATATCATTGTTCTGTTGTTTTACTTTGAGTCAACCATGATGGAAATTTCATGGCATTCATATATAAAGTGAAAAGGATCTCAAAATATTACTGCCCCAAAGATAAAAGTTATAACATCATTATTAACTCTTTTAAAATTTAAAATAATGTTATGCCCTTGCTAGTACACATTGTATTATATGGTTCTCCTAAGAGTACTAATTTTTTAAGAGCTTTATAAATACACATAGTATTTGGGTTCATTCCAACAAACCCAAACATGCAACTTCTTACCAATTTCTACAATACACAAGTTTTATGTAAGGGGATTTCTTAATCTATTATCTCACCAACTAATTTTCTTCCTTCTGTAGGTCTTTCCTAGAGAAATAACATTTTACTTAAAAAAAAAACTATCTTTAAATCTTTTAGACTTCAATAAACTCTTAAAAGATTGGGAAAAAATATACAGAAATTGTAATAAAAATTGTAATTTGCTCATTACATGGATATAGAATTAAGTAATTGATTTTTACAGGTAATTGCCAAAATTTCATGTACTTATTTCTTGATATATGAAAGGTGGGTATCTCACTTGAGAGATCTCAGACCCAACATTATAGCCAAATTATGGGCTCCCTACCATACCTGTACCTATCTATAACCCCCTTTTTTTGTCCAGCACTGTTTTTATAAATAAGAAAACACTGATCTATTTGGTCAGCTTATCAATTTTACTACTTCCTCTCATTTTATAGCTTATTTCTTTGCATCTACTACATTTTATCCATCCTCACATATTCACTGTGAAATGCAAACATTCCTGGACAAGATCCCATGTTTGACCAGTGGCTCTCAAACTTTATAACCAAAAAGGGATCAGTGGGGAGGGACTAAAGTTGTTGAAAGGCTTTTCATCATAATCACTACAAAAACATATATATCATTAAAAATAAAACTGTGCTTACTACATAAGTCAGCCTCAATATAAGTCTACCTCCTGAGAAAAGTTATAAATGAAAAAATGTACATCTTAAGTCAAATGTAACACCTTAAGTTGTGTTTGACCAATTGTGTTAAAACACATTTAAAAAATATATACCATCTTTCAGTAGTACACAGTTAAAAACAGTTTCCTCGGGGGGTGAGGGAATATCTCTGTGGTATAGCATGAGGCCTTAAGTTCAATCCCCAATACCCCCCAAAAATAAAAATTTAAAAACTAAAATGAAACAGTTTCCTGGACTATGTTGAAGAATAAAGACAAACAAAACAAAGAAATGAAACTAAAGCAAAGGTTTAATTTAAAAGGTGCTTTTTTAAAGTTGTTATATTTGTATATGTAGCCATAATGACTTTTCTGCCATTAACCCTCCCATTACTATAAAAACTTCTAACTCAATTCATTTAGTTAGTCATCAAGTATTTATTGAAGAGCTTACTATATTTCAGTCACTGAAGAGAAAATAATTAGAACACCTGCCTAGGATGCATGAGGCCCTGGAGTCCACCCCCAGAAGCTACCCCCCCAAAAAAGGTAGACTCACAACAAACACTGCATCCCCCAAATCACAATGAATAGACAATTAATGGATTTTTTAAAACAAATTGTGCAAACCCAAAAGACAAGAGGTATGAATAAAAGACACATCTAAAAATATTTTAAGGCAAAAAGCAAATGGTGTGATGCTTACTAATTTAACAAAGCAGAACAGAAAACAATGTATCCTTAATCCTTTCAAGGAAATATGCTTTGAGGAAGATAGACCTCCCTATAAATCCCAGAGAAGCTGTGGAAATCAGTAACCACAGAAAGTACATGTGGAGCAAAAACTGGAAAGATAACTGAAAATCAAAAATGACTGAAACCCTACTCCAGGCCTGGGTCTCCTCTCCTCTGAGGCATCATGTGACAGCATCCATCCCTATTCCAGTAGCCCAAGTCTGTGGTAGAACTGAACCTGACAAGCACCAAACTAAGAATTATCAGTGTGGACTGCAAATAAGGCAATCAAGTCACTATTTAGAGAAAAGTCAGCATCAGAACCTAGCTCCTTTCTTACCCTGGAGGATCCAGAGGACACAATGCCTTCATCAAGGCTTTGAGAAACACTTTGGTTGAGAAGATCACCAGAGCATCTTTGAAGATCTCTGCAAGAGCTTTCTCTGCAGGCCAGGAATGACAATGGGCACTATTACCATTTAGAAATGGGGGTACTGGGATTGAATGGGGATGACAGTATCACAGAGTGTCACAGGCTGAGTGACAGCACTTACCCAGAGATAAAGTGAGCATGGTTATCATAATGGCAACTGAGTGAAACCTGTAGTCAGAATAGTTTGACTTGCAGAGACCATTAGAAACCCAATAGATCCTACTTAATCTACATAAGCAGAAAAGCTAAAAAATAGAAAGATGCAGCCCCTCAATAAATTCTCTAAATTGATCCAATACACAGTCCTATAGCCCTTGAGTAAAAGGAAGCCAGGTCCTTTTAAGGAAGGACCTTGTTACACGGCAACATTTTTTAAAAATTTCTTTATTTGTTCTTTTTAGATATACAGGACAGTAGAATGTATTTGGACATATTATATATACATGGACTATAACTTATTCTAATTAGGATCCCATTCTTGTGGTTGAACATGAGGTGGAGTTACACTGGTCATGTATTCATGTATGAAACAGCCAAATATTTAAACTATAAATCTTCCTCTCAGTCTTCCCCCAAAACACCTGCAGTCAATTACCAGGGTGAATGCACATTGGAGAAAGAGAAAATATTCAGAATTTTGTGGGATTGCTTAATATGACTCTGAACTAACACTCATTCCTGGAGTGTACTGTGGTACTGTGTTTCACCATCCTGAGCAGGTGTTTAAAGAAATCACATGATTTATGATTTATGGATTTTGGGCTCAGGACCAACTTCCAGTCATCCCAGAATTCATGCCATGGTTATTTTTCCCAGTTTTAAAATATAGAGTTGGTACAGACAGAGTCAGGAGATTCTCTCACTGGCTTCTTAATCTGGAGTAAGGCTATAATGGTGTAATGGTCAAACGCAAACCTCTGGAACTACCTCTACCTATGAAAATAACAACCAAAAGCACTATTTCATTCCTATAGGGATAGAAGAGATTAGGATCACCATTGAGGACTTGAAAGATGAAGATCTTGCCAACCACATCTCCATTCAATTTGCCTAATTGACCATGCAAAAAAATGGACATATTTGGGTACCAGATGTGGATTCATTGTTGGAGCAAATCAACATATTCTCTGGCATCTGGCACACAACTATTGATCTATCAAGTTCTGTTTTTTTCTTTATATTTGTTAGCAAAGACTACCTGAAGGATTTTGCTTCCTACTATCCTACTAGGACTCTACCAACTCTCCAACACAGACATAATATAGCCCATAGGGACCTTGATTGCCACTCCATTCCATACACTGCCATGCTATCCAATCATATGCTGACTCAACAGTAAGTAGTAACTTCCCTATATATGTGTGTCAGAGGGTAGAGAAATTCCTTCAAAAATTCAGAGGCACTTGATTTTCGTAAATATTCTAGGGATCTAATAATGTCAGGCTATCTCTTACAAAATGTTATCTCCCTCTTCCTATTACTACAAAAAGAGGCATATAATCTAGTATGTGCTTTTTTTCCCCCTTGAGGCAATATACACCTCATTTTGACATTATTCTGACCCATTTATCAAGTAACTTGAAAAGCTTCCAGGTTTGAATAAGATTCAGAAATAGGTCCAGACTGCTATGAAAGCTATTCTTTCACTTGGTCTGTATAATTCAACAGATTCACTGGTGTTTTAATTGTCTGTGGCAGTCAGGGATAATATATGGTACCTGATAGACACCCTACAGCTGAATCACAGCACAGACATTTAGATTTTTGGAACAAAACTATGCAAGATGAGCACTCCATTTGAACTTGATTTTGCTTGACCTCCAAAGCCATAAAAATTAAGAGTACATCCAACACAGTGGCGCTCGCCTGTAATCCCAGCAGCTGGGGAGGCTGAGGGAGGATGATCGTGAGTTCAAAGCCAGCTTCAACAAAAGCAAGGCACTAAGCAACTCAGTGAGACCCTGTCTCTAAATAAAATACAAAATAGGCTGAGGATGTGGCTCAGTGATCAAGTGCCCCTGAGTTCAATCCCTGATACATAATAATAATAATAATAATAATATAATGAGTGCACAGGACATTAAACCTTAAGTGGAGGTTGTATATGTGAAATCATGCCTGGCAAATCCTATGGGCACACTGGCAAATCTAAGCAAGTGGCTCAGATTTTCATAACTCCTATTCTTAATACATTGATCCTCTCTTTAAACTTAACCTGTAGCATCACTGAGAGGTTTCTTATGACCAGTTAACTAAAGAAGAAAAATTCGGGTCTGATTTAAAAATGGTGTTATACAATATGCTTGCCACTCAAAAGTAAAGAGTGATAGCATGAGAGTTCTCCTTGGGAGCCCTAAAGGACATACAAAGGGCAAAGCTCCAACCAGGCAAGACTTTGACCAATATACCTGGTTGTTCATTTTTTAAAGGAGATACATCAGAGGTGCGTAGGTACAATCATTTATGAATGGTGACTCGTGTTTTGGCTGACTGGTCATTTAAAGCACACTGAATAACAATCTCAGAGAAAAGGACTTAATTATCAGGTAGATGACTAAATTTATGGAGCTTAATCATTCTCCTTCTTTAGTCACCCCTGTTCTTCACCAAAGGGCTCATGAACAATACGGCCATGGCAGAAGGGAAGTAGGTTATATATGGGCTCAGCAACATGGACTTCTCACCAAATCCAATCTGGCCACAGTCATTGAGTACTCAATCTAGCAACATAAGAAACAAAGTTCAACTTATTAGATATGGC